CCCATTGATGAATCAGTGTATTCTAATCAATCTAAACAACAAGGACACCCATTGATGAATCAGTGTATTCTAATCAATCTAAACAACAAGGACACCCATTGATGAATCAGTGTATTCTAATCAATCTAAATTTTTGTTTGATGATATTGTATACTCCTGGTCAGATCAATATATCCAATTAGCTATTTCAATTCCTGGGTTAATTTTTACTTCTTATCTATTTAGTAACATATTTCTTGTGTAAGACATAAAACCTAGAGTATTATCAATATGTCTCTAGTCTATGGCACAGAAATGTACAACTTATATTTCTCTGGTATTAAATTCAAACTTGCAGTGATATCTCTGTGGCTTAAGACACGAAGTTCTATGTAGCAATGTTGATATATTTTCTTAGACACAAAATCTACAGCAATATTAATATTTACACAGACTAAGTTTTTTATTCCAAAATCACATTCAAGATTAAAATAAATACTTCTTCACATACGTTTTTGCAGATAAAAGAAAATTAGAAAAATCATGCAATAAAAAAATAAACCTTTAAACAAAGATAAAATAAACATAACTGTTCATGAATAGTCTATTACTGTATTTAATATGACTGAAATTCTAGCTATCAAATATCTTGAAACATTTATTAAGTTTAGATTATTGACTTCCTTCTGTATTACTTAAACTAGAATCTAGTTAGCAAGATCTCTCAATACACTTAGATACTGCACAAACTACATACTTTTACCACTTGAAGCAAAGTTTCTGATTCTTTAAACAATTTATCCTTTTACTTACATCTCTGTGAAGTTTATTGAACCCATAACCACCTTGCTCTAAACATTCCTTTATTAACTGACCAGCCAAATTATGATGTCCATGTCTTAAGGCTACAACAATATTTCGGTATAAGCTTTCACTCTGCAAAGAGACAATAAAATTAACAATATTTTGAAACTATAATCTCAAAATATATATGGGAGCTAATTAAGTTTTCTAAAAATCCATAGATCTTAAGCCTCAAAAATCACCTAACATGCACATACAAAGAAAGAACTGGTACAGAGCCTACACTGCTTTCATAACATTATAAATGTTTTAAAATTAAATAATTTATATATCCTGTAAATGACCTTGAAATACTTTCTCTGTTATTGTCTGACTGTGACAAAATGATTGCCTTTCTAACATGGTATTAGCACTTTTAGTCACAGGTTTAAACAAATATACAAAAGTTTCTGATTTATTTACAATACAATACTTGTAAAATAACAAGTACAATATACATTTATATCTTTATACACTGAATCTTCAGTAAAAGTACATATTATTATAGAAATAAAACGTACACAATAACAAGTGCATGATATATACACACACACTCTGGATCTTTAGTAACACTTTGTATTATGTTTTGCCTACTTTAATACAAAGCAAATAATTTATTTTTATTCTAATGTACATATAACATATGCATTGAAATTTCCATTCTAAAGTATATTTTTTGAGTGAGTATGACAAAAAGATTGCTAGGTGAAATATTACGATATGATACATTTCATGCAATTTTGTTATATTATATAAAAAAGATACAATATCCAATCTTTTTGTTCATGACTAGCATTAGTTTTGCCCCCAATAGCACAGCAGTATGTCTGCGGACTTACAACGCTAGAAATCGGGTTTCGATACCCGTGGTGGGCAGAGCCCAGATAGCCCATTGTGTAGCTTTGTGCATAATTACAAACAAACAAGCATTAGTTTCACTACACTGAAAATCATTAACTTATTTTTACACATTTTTTGATAGAAAAATAAAAAACATGCATAGAATAAGTTTTTAAAATCAATCATGCTGAAAATGACTATCTGACATTCAGAAACGTAAATAATACTTACCTTTTCAGGCACTACATCCCTATGTAATGAATTTTTTCCATTGCAGATTATGTTTAAAGTGTTCAAAGAAACACCAGCAGAAAGTGCATCTTTAATTTTATTATCATCAATCTGTACTTGACATTGCTCCATTGGTTCCTATGAACAAAATAATAGTAACAAGACTAATTGTTGTGAAGATATATTTCTCATTATGAAACTGATACTCCTTCCTGAACAATAAGTCATCTTCATGATCAGTTAAACTATTTAACAGTTGTAGAATGATAGGAATATAAACTCAAAATTATGTTTGACAACGAGACGTTATATTGATATCTCATTTACTTTACAATTAATTTATAGACTAGAACATTATAATAGAAGTTTCCAAAAACTTAGTATTTTTGTCTGTAATCTCTTATTTTATAACATAATTATGTTTTTTTTTCTAAAAAAAAATAATTTCAGTACTATGGCAAACAAAATATAATTTTAGTAAGAAACCTGAGGAAATTTTAAAATGATTTTTTTATCCTTACGAGTTTTAATAAGAAAAGGAATTTTATTATTATTTAATAGTAGATATAATTAGCATATTAATCCTTATGAGAATGAGATTAATTTTATGACTTGCCTAAAAATATTAAATAAAAAATTCAACATTATGATCAATTAAATTATTTTTATTTTCTCAACTAATCAAGAAAAGTTAAACAAATATTTTATTCTAAAAACAATCTGAACATTTAATTTAAAATTAATCCTTTAGTACGGTTTATTTTTGAATACAACGAGCAATTGTACAAGAACTCTACAAACATTTTGGTTAGAAAAATTCTAATTTAATATGATACATAAAGCAGTAAACATTTTCACATGTATTCCAAATAATGATATCTACCTTCAAGAAAGCATCATTTCCTTCTCTAGAACCTCGACTGACAGATATTGGACGTACTGCATGACCAAGCATAGTTCTGTTGTAACTGTAAAATTATATATATACTCCCTTAAAAGTATATTACATACACAAAATAGACGTATATCTAATCAGTGTCTTTCTTTGTTATATTTATTTCTTATGATTCAGAGAATTTCTTGACTCAAGTAATATATTTCATGACTTCCTTTTAAAAAAAACATTTAACAGGTTTTTCTGTCAAAAAAAGTTAAATATTTTGCTCTGGATATACTTGGACATTTATTCACACAGTTTTTGTATTTAAGAAATGTAATGTAGTTTCTAATATAAACAAATACAGCCTTTTGAAGGGCAAAAAGAATTCCATTCTCCTCCATAAACTTGTGAAAACATGAAATTATCTTTCTAGCATTTTGACACTCTTTCTATGAAAACAGAAGCAGGTATAATATTTCATTAATTTTCAATACAGGCAACTATTGTATTAACAATAACGTAAAACACTTAACACTAACCATAAAATGATAACTACAGGTTGATCTAAATGAACATACATAAGTAAAACACTTTAAGTAATCACTAACTGGAAAAACTTAATGACAAGTTAATCTAAATGAACATACAGTTATGTATCTGCTTATTTGTTAATTTCCGGTATAAATTATTTCCAAGGAACTTCAGCAATACTAGTCCCTTCTTGATTAAAACTAGTTTATTCTTTCTCGATACAAATTTTAATAATACACAGAATTTCCACAGTCACTTTAAACTTAACAACCTTTATAACACATGCTATAGATCACAATGATTCACAAGCTCGATAACTTCACTTTATGCGACTGCAAAACACACACAATTTAGGGCTCACCATCACTACTGTTCAATTGACTCAATTATCTACATCTTCAATACCGTTGGTTTTTCTCGCCAGGCTTATATAATAAAAAGAGGGCGTCTCAAATGCACTCAGGCTTTGATGATCATTCAAGAAATTTCACACACGCTACCAGCACCAAACACATCAGTAACATCATGTGACTTCTGCTGTCATAACAGTACATTAGTAAAACACTAAGTTATCGCTCACTGGAAAACCTTAACCATGGATGCATCTAAATGAACATATTGTTACACCTCCGTTTGTTAATTAACTTTCCGTAACTTCGTTCCGACGAAACTTTAGCGACACAAGTCCTTACTTAATAAGACTGGTTTA